TAATTAGTAGGATGATTAATTGCACCAGTCAAGGGTTTGACGATGAGCACAAGAGCCCGGGATTCCCCATTTCAATGCGTTACAACTAATTTCTCCGCCTCAGTTTGGGACAGTGGGATTACTCAATGAAATACAACGTGTCATTGCTTTATTACGATACGAGGCAGAGTTATCGAATTGTGAATAGGGACCCCACTTATAATTCATTCGAAAACAATTAAGTAAGTGTGGGGATTTTAGTGATTACCTTATCATGCCTCAAACCAAACTCAACTTTCGGTTTGTTCAGTGTCCAAGGCTTGATTCTGGGACTTTTTTTAAATTAATTACATTTTTCGTTTTTGTGATTACTAGAACTTTAAGGCAAAATGGTTGACCTTTAACTGAGGAATTAAAGGTAGATTGGCATGACCGCAAAACAAATGTGATAAATCGTCCCATTCTAAGGTGGGGATGCTAACATTCGGTTGCGTGGCACAATGAAACTGCAATATCTGATTCGGTATAGATCACATTAGCTCTACTCGATTGGTGGTGACCCTCAGTTATTAGTGAGAATGATTTCAGAGAAATAATTCATCTTTAACTGGGGTATAGCAAATAATGCTTGATCTATCTGGTGATTTTGAGGCGTGAGTAATAAAAGTCGGTCACATTGAGTGATATCACTGAGAAAACAGGGTCTATCAAAGTCATAGAGGATTCATTCGAACATGAGCTCGAAGGATCATAGAGGTACTGGAATAAACTTTTGGGTTTTTATAATGTAATATCCATTAATACTTTCACTTCACCTTGTAAAACAGTTGATGTGATAAAGTTCTCATGAGCTGAAATAGAGGGGTATCTTGACTTCGGAACTTAAGAGGAAAAGTATGTTTCAGCCTAGGAACTATAAGGTAGGCATCCCACCAGTATTGGAACTTTTAGCATACTTCAGACTTTCAAAATACTGCTGATATTAATTATTCGAGAGGCATTTTTATATGGACACGCAATTCATTGATCGTTTTTATCTTCTCAAATCATGTTAAGAATTTGGATGCTAACTGCATTAAAATTCATACAATAAGATTCTGTACTACCTATGGTTGATGTGACTAGAGTACACCATTTTCAAAAATGCGATTTGACCAGTCCTACCATTCTATGCTACAAATTCGTGATTTAATGAAGCATTTACGCAGAGGCAAAGACATTTGCTCACCAGGCAACGGTATCAAGACGCAACGCAAAGCAAATGGTCACATTAGGGCGAGATGACCGTTTTAATCACGTTTAGCTTAATGAGTTTGCTAATTTGCTTTATAGGTTATCAATTAATCAGGAATGAACTTCGGCCAAGGCTCCATTTTTCCTCTAAGTCTCTCTTTGCTTGACATCAGCACATGCTTCACAATGCAGGCTTTAATACTATGATTATCTGTGGAGTTATTGGAACGGTGCCAGAACATGCACAGGGGCTGAAAAAGTGGTAGCGCAGATGCTAGGATCAGAGCTCCATATTACAAGTGCAAAGGTCGAATCCGAGAATAAAAGTAAATATCCCAATGCTGTACACTTCTTGACGTTCGGAGCAATAAATGAGCAATCAGACCTATCAATCTTCCAAACGGAGATGGTACAAATTTTAAGAGATTTTGAGTGAACAGTAAATGCTGATTCACATAGTCCGCGCTAGCAAATAAATGTCTTCAATTACATGAGGAAAGGGATAAATAGCTGCTTTTATCAAGCAAATTATAGATATTTTGGAATGCCTTACGCAACCATCTCCACCTTGCATTACTACTTCACTGCTACAGAGTTTAACTAACATGTTTGGCTAAACAAGACTTGCATTTTTAGTACTGACTTATACAAATTTGGAAGAGCACATAAATTTGATTGATTCATTTTCCATGATTTAGCGACTTTCACAAAGAGCACCCTTGTGCTCTCGAAGATTACTGCGAAACACCAAAGTAACGCATAGTTTGAAGAGGGCGTTACGAGCTTTGATCTCTAACCGAAATAGTGGCTTCAACAGAATAGCATTTTGTTAAATGACATTGCACAAATTAAAATGAAGCGATTGTGGTTAGGGTTGAAAACCTATGTCACGGTTTTAAGACAAAGCCAAAGCTTTTTAGCTTAATCATAAAATATCCTAGATTAAACATTCGAAAAAATACGTTGCTGGTCTTTCTTTCGAATTAGGGGACGATGAAGACGAGTAAATGTTCTTCACATTATCATTCAACACCTTGGCCTGAGATAATCCTTTTCGTTTCTTCCTTACGCATTCACAAGGTTCTGATACAGTGGCCAAATTGTACATCATCCACTGGCTCCCGGACGGTGACGGTTTCCAAAGGAACGAAAATTCCTATCGGCTCTTTGACAATTGGGCTAGAGAGCAATCGAGGCTAGTGGTAAAATGGCTTATAGATGCAACTTCTCCATAAATGGCTATCCAGGATGTAACTGAAATAGCAAAAGAAGTCGAAGACATGCACTTTAATTTCAAATTTTAATAGGTGTGCAGTATATTCAAGGTCGGGTGATGATTTATCAGGGGGGTCAAGCTGCATTAACCATTACATTGATAATAGACTAAATTCAATATAACCAGGAGCCCCGATAGAGGAAAAGTACCTAGCACTCAGGTCCTAATCGTACTGAAAACGATTAGAACAGCGAGAGTGGGAGTGAAGATGGGCAACCATTAAGGAACGAAAAGCAAAATTTGAAGTACTGGCAGCACTATTATTGCGACACTAAGTGGAACAGCAAATTGAGGAGCCAATTTGTTACACCCATATTTGTCAAGTACAGAATGCATCTCTAACTGTGGTAGCTCTATATACTAACGCAAAACAGTAATGTTTCTAGAATGGGGTATTTTATTTGGAGGGGCAGATTCGGGAACCTAAAGCCTTTCTGATACTGACAGCTATTTAGCAGTTGTTTGCCTACATTTACTTGTGCTACATGTCAAGTGAAGGCTACAAGTTTTCCTAAGAATCAAAATGATCAGGAGCATTTAAAAGGAGAACAAACTTATGAATATTTCTTCAATTTCATTTGTTGGTTAGAAATAGTAGGAGCGAAGGGTCTCTACATGGAATTTTATGTTTGTTGTTTAAATAAGGCATAGTAGCCACAGGGGCTGGTTGTTGCAAAGGCTCTCAAGAATGTCTGTAAACTGTGTTTAAGGAGTCAAAGTGGGTTTTCGCCACTGAAAGCCCATGGTACAAGAACACTCAATATGAAGTGACAAATGATACGGTCATTATAAAGCAGACATCCATCGTTTAAAATAAGTAGACGCGGTCCTAATGAACTAGCAAATCCGATCGCTACTTTTAAATACAAGCAAAACCTCATTTTTGATTAAAAAACTGCTGACACAAGTGCAAGAAAGAGTGCAGATTTCGGCACTATTATAAGTCATTATTTCACGTAATTAACAACCTAGCGCTCCCGATTTTACCGATTTATTGCCTTATTCTGAAGTCAGGTACCTACCCTCTGATGGTTAAAATCCAGTCAGCTTTGATGACATGGTAACTTAGTTTACAAAAAAAGGTACTCTTGAGTTCAGTTAAAATTACTGAAAGTGTCTCAAAGAAGTTCATGAACGATTTTGTCACCAAACCACTGCGTCAAATGCTGCCAAGTATAGCACTGCATGGAATAAACAAACCTGAACTTGATTAATTGAGTTGTGGATCAATGGTAAGAAATGATTTCCTGTTCGGCAGTTCAATTGCACACGTGTATAATCCTTCCGTACTTTGAGAAACGTTGACGAAAGATCAAACTTTCGTCCCCTTCCAAGTATTATGCGATCGTGACTGCGGATCACAGATAGAACGGTCGGGAGGTCATTTGATCACTAAGATCCACACAGTCTGAGTTCATCGTGCCTAAATCCTTTGGCGATTCGTTTGTTTAATCGATTACCTCAGTTGATGTTGTGTCAACTGAATTAATAGCGATGGGGAAATGACACCGAAGTCTCTCAGTGCACAAAGCCTTCAACACATCCAATTCTTCCATGGATGCGTAACTTTGTTCTGCACGATAGAGTGCTCACATCTGTACAGATTGATGCATAAGTTTAAATTATCGTAACAAATGTCAGAATTGTTGGATTGTGACAAACGTCGAGATGGGTCCTGCGAATTCAAGAACATATTGTGAACACATGTTATCACAATTCACAAGTGATCTACTGTTATTATTAAAAATTAAGAACAGATTACCAGGTATACTGGTTCTGTGCTTGGTTAAATAATCGGTTTCGGCATCTGTTTTCCAGTTTACGACCTCCCTTTGAAACTGAAAAATTGTGATACTCACGATGTTTTCTGAGGGAGGCCACTCAGGTTGCGCCTAATCAGCAGTCAAATCTCACTATGATTTGATAAAGTTTAATGAAATGCATGGGCAGATTGTAATCACTCGCAAGCGACAGCCATCACGGCACTCTACGTATTTATTCTACCCCTAAGTTAGTATACATTGGGAGGTCAAAACCTGCAACGGTGAAAAAGAGGGGATTTAAGTAGGTGTAGATTAGTAAAATAGTCCCAAAAGTATACGCTTTTGTATTTAAATACAGTGATTATGCCTTAAGGAGATCTGGTTGAAGGTTAAGAGGTGGAACCCTACATAAATATTCCCCTGGATATATCGGTGGTAGAAAAGTCACTCCCATCGATGATCATATTGGGCATGCTTCTGTTAGTAAGCACTCGTGGACCCAAAGTGGATGTCCACTCTTGCAGAACAATTGGACGTGAATAACAATAATGATAACTGAACTTGAGTGCTCATACGCATCCAGATGAAATACGATCTGTCGAAACGCTTGTCGGGGATGCGAATAACTACGAATCATGAAGCAGCTCACAACATGTAATCGTAGATTCCAATCAGTAAAACAACAGTTCATTAACATCTACGAAAATAAACTTTCAAGAAATTTCCATTGTTGGCAAAACGACTCAGTCCAGAGTGGGAAGAATCAACTCAATGAAACAATTATTGGTAAAGCATGAAAGTAATTGAATGATGAATTCGCCAGATCACGTGGCTGAATGACTACCGTATGGGCTGCTCCAATGAGACTCCTGATCAGGTCCGCACTCACAATGTAGGGAACGCCTGTAATGTTGACCCTGGAATTCCAGTTAGGCTCCAAATTGGCTACGAACGTGCAAATGCGAAACAGCATGAGGAATCAATCGTCCACAAATGCACGTTCCTTTATTTGTGATAACGACTGTGATCGTAATAACCAACCTGATTTTCAACGGATACATTAAAACCAATCCGTTTACCAAACTTTAAACACCAAAACTAGGATCTAGAAATACTGCAATTATTACCATTCAATCTACCAGTAAACCCGTTTATAGTAAAGACGCTTTGTCACTTTTTCTCCACTATCTATGTAGAGTCCGGGACGTTAGTTGGATCAAACTTTTACGCCATTCAGCAGGTTAGTCAAAACCAAATTCTGCATAATTGTGGTTTGATCCACCCTAATAGAAGTACGAAATAAGCAGCCATCGGGGTGAGCACACTGAAATAAAAGTAGAAAAATTAAGCAATGAATTTCCCACAATTCAACAGATTGATACGAGATACACGTTTAACCGAATGGTGAATTTATGGATGCACCCATTGGTTCCGAATGACCTTTCAAAACACCATTAATATTTGACAGTGAATGCAGTTGGGTAAATGACTGACATTTACTAACAAACAATAAATATGGTTGCAACGACCAACGACAATGAAAACAGCCGCAATTTTTCAATTACATTGTCCAAAAGTCAGTGTCATTGAAATCGCGGCATGAAAATCCTCCCTCCTATTTCGCGAGACTGTTTCATAAAAGTGGTTTCAAAGCTATTAGTGAATTTGAACTAGTTGTATAATTCAACAAGGGCGGAGTATTTCAAAATTGCTTACAAATAAAATAGCAAATTTTAATTTTACCTAAGTTGCCGCCACCGAAAATAATTTTATTTCATATTTTGCTCGATACTGCCAGGGGAATAAGGCAGCACTTTACTGCGGATCTGAACACCAAGTAGCCAGACAGAGCGAAGTTCCCCTGAGGAGGGATGGTAACGGGAATTTTGACAATATAATTAAGCATTTAATAGATGCATAGTGTGATTGTACATAAAAAACGACCCAGAACTTACGATATCTGTTTGTCTTCAAAACTCTGGGCACACGAGGAATCACTTGAGCAAAACCTACAATACATCCAGCTCACTGACCCACGTGGCGATTTTTTAAGCAGGTTTAGTGCGTCTAACACCGAAGATCATTCCAAGCCTCAGCTTCAACAAAGGCGACGGGCGTATACCAGTTGCCGACACTCCCACACATGCCCCTTTCCCTCCCCTCCTGACCATTAACTTCGAGGTTAGAATCCGCCTCGTCACAGGGGTCCATCTCAGGTTCACTACTGTTCCGGAAAGTGATCAATTGCAATCAGTCCAATCTCTCCACACTAATCGACCAACTGGTGTAAATGCCTGATTTGATCACAACCTGATACACTAGAAACCAGTCGCGCCTCATGTTAACAGGGTTTAAATCCACTGCGACAGCCAGAAACGAATGCCACCTATGAAGCATAGATGGCATCCCCTATCTACCATCCATGTATGTATTAACACGACCTTAAGCCGGTATTTATGCTTTTACGATACTACGGATGCGCTGTGCGGAACCTCCTTCCGCATTGCCATTGCCTGTAGATAGTAAAAGGAAACCATTGAGACTACTAAACAGGAATCCTGACTGAACGCTAAAAAAAATCAACAAACTTTCGGAAACACTTGGAGAATCAAAGTAATAAGCAAACCCGACCTTGGTTTTTTATAATGCCTACCCGCTTGCTGCGATAGACTACAGCTGGAATGCGAATAACATTGTTTCGCTAGCCAATTATTATTGCAACTTTATAAAACTAGATTAAATTCAAAAGTGGAGACGAACTTGTGCTAGTAAGCCTGAGACAACACTAATTTTGCTACCGGCAAAACATTTGTAGTAGTCCAATACCAAAAGGGATCCAATACACACATACACAGGAAAAAGGAAGGGACGGAGGTGAGAGGCAAGCACAGTTCAAACGTCAATGGAAGCAGTGATCATGCTGACTTGACTGGACTCCCAAGGGGGGAAGTAGAGGATGGTGAGAGAAGTAGAAAGGATGGTAGAGGAGTTGGTGGCGCCGAGAAAGAGAACTTCACCTGACGCCGTCGTCGCCACCGCTGGCGCCACATCACAACTTGAGAGGAGTTCACGCACGAACCACGGGAAAGTAGGTGCCCCATAGAAAATGAAATTGCGAGCTCCCCGAATTTTTCGCCTAAACACCACCACTCAGTTGGCTATTAGCAATCACCACTTAGGGCCCCACAATGGACATGTATGTATACAGTAGTGAAGCATCCGTTTACTTAAAAAATTTAGAGTAAAATAAGGAACTAGGAGAAATAACCACGCACTTGGCCCTGCTGTTGAAAAATACAACTCAAATAAACAAAGGTAGTTCATTGGTCCTATGTCAAAAAACTGACCGTAAAAGTAACCGTAAAAAGCTGTCAAGATCCAAGATAAATTGAAGATAGTAAACTGAAGCGGTCCTGTTAAAAGATGAATTCTAAAAGTCACAGAAGGACCTTAGGCAATTTTGTACAATTTTTTTTCCACAACAGCTGGTGTTGAAAGTAAAACATACCAACCTAGGCCTGAAATCATGACAGCAAGGGTTGTCACTTCACCCCAAGCAAAGTTAACATACCTAGAATAAACGTACACTGGAGAATAACAACCCCACTTTGGATTTTAAAAATGAGGCGAAATAGGGTAAATCACTTCAGAAAAGTGAGCGTGAAGGGAGCATACCTTCGGTAAAAGTAATATCGTTCGCTAAGGAGCATGATACGAATACGGCCTTGGTCAAAGAGATTCCTGTACCTTTCAGCTTCATTATCCTCTAAATACCTGAAATAGGATGAAAAACTGAGGGACCAAGTATTCCTGCAAAATAAGCCACAAACAGAAAGTAGAAATAATTTTCAAAGGTAGGAGGATGGTTTTAAGGTAACATGTAAAAATGCATAAGGAGTTGTAAAAACAGGACTTCGAAAAACGAAAAATACGATGATAACGGGGTCTGGCTGCAGAAATATCCCTCGAAATACAGTAGAAAAACATGAAACACACTCGTGTACGCAGCAGAACGAAAGAGCTTCTTCGCGTAGCAATTTCCGTAATTCCTCCAAATCATAGTAGTCAGGAACATAGATAAGCACGCGCTCGTCAACACCTTTCCGAAGACGTGGGAGCAGACGCTGTTTGAAAGCGGCAAGTCGGGCAAGTGGTACTGTACGTCCACCTAAGGTTGGAACAATTACAGAGCAAGTGCATGTAGATTCATATATTATGACTATCAGATAATAATCCTTTTTCTGGGCAAGCCCACCTGTATCTGACAGATTGTAGGCAGACAGACTCTTTTTTGACACCACTGCATTATTTGTCTCTCCCAGGCGCGCGGTTTTTATACATAATTCCTCCTCACCACTACTGTCAGGGGAGTCGACACTCTTTGTCGACTCAAACAAAGGATTTGAGGTGCGGAAAGATCCTGCTACACCGAAGGTGATTAACTGCAGCTTGAAGTTATCAAAAGCCGTTAAGCGCACCGATGCCTCCAAAGCCTCTTTAGCCGACCGTTTGAGTCCAGGTACACGGTGATTTTCCGGCAAAAAACCGGAAAACAAACTGCCAGCTTGATATTGCGGAATAGAGAGGAACAGGTTCATGCCTTGGAAGTCTGTGTCAGAATAAATGAATGTAAACCATCATGAATATTACATATAATGTTGTGAAAGTGGAATTCAATGGGAAGGGATTGAAATATTCAGCCTATTCTAGCTAACTTAATGAAATGTAAGGATGTAGGTAGGACTTCTAAAATTAATTACAATAAGTGCACAAGAGCATTCTACACATACAAAAACATTTACTTACTTTCACACTTGCCTAATAAGGCGTTAATCAAGTGATTATTCACTGCAGAAAAGATCAGCGTTTGGCGATATCGCGCGGCAAAGCCTGCTAAATAGGCGAGACGAATGCGTGCAGGAAAAGAAAACGACGGTTTCTTCGGTCTCTGATTTAATCGACTGACGAAGTCCTGAACTGTTGCCCAATTCTGCATTAGTAAATGCTCCGCTTGATCAATAACTAAGACCTCAATTGAAGCAGTTATGTATTGTACGTCCGAAGATTCATTTCTGTAAAATAAACAAATCATTTCCTAGCAATTCCAAGGATAAATCAAGGTGTAAGGCGATGTAACCTACTCCTTGTTATTCATAAGCGTTTCCAGACCTAGTGGAGAGGCCAATATAATATCAGATTCCGAAAAAGCGGAGTAGAGTTTTACGGACTTCTTCGCTACCGCAATACCAATTCGAAAACGATCATCGGAGTTGCCTAAGCCGAGAAAAAGTTAGGCGATATCTACCGGAGGCTAAAACATTAACGTAAAGAGCTTCAACCACACAAATAAATACATTAGTTGCTGAGAATCTGAAAATTTATGAGCAACACAGACACATCACAGCAAACATGCAATAAGGAGACTATCATACATGAGAACCACTCCTCAAAATCAGGTGGCTTTTTTCCTTTCCGCTTGTCGCGATCGGCTTGACCCTCCTGAGGACCGAAATCACGCTCGAAACGCTTTCTATGACTGACTGTAGAACCTTTCGGCATGAGACGCAACATTTGATGCACGGTTCTCCTAGCCGCTTCGCGAGTTGGTAGAATAACCATAACCCTGGCCCGATGAAATCCCTGGTCCCGAATAGAACTAGAGTTGCAGACGTAAGAATCAATTGAGAAATATTGCGAAACTCACTCATCCAGACCCAACTTCACAACACGAGCAGTATTCTTCAGCATAATTTTACGAGACCTTAAGACAATTGACGAGAAAAACAAAGTTACTTTAGAATATGGTTTAAGGCATGCACACAGTAAAGTTCTCGGACTGACTCCATTTCTGGATTGCGAAGACAATAACAAAGGTCTTCATAGTTGTCAATAATTCGAAATATATCATTCAGACTTGTTATCTGGGTCGGAGATATAGGCTAAAATCACGTCAGTAAAGAAACAAAGTTCAACATTTTTATTGTCCAAAAAAGGAAACACATCCGACTGTGATGTTGATCGGTAGTATCCACTAGTAGGGCTCTAAGGGAATATTGACAAATAACAGCGATGAAAGCACGAACCAGTATTGACTTGCATTCAATGGCAGGTAGTGTGTCCAATCTTAGGTAGTCAAAATTAAAATGACGAAGAAAAGAAGAGCCTTCAACGTAGCAATGTCAAGACAAGGACTACCTTCGAAAGCAGCATCATCAACCTGCCCCGGTGCCATGCCGCGAAACAGAAAACCAGCAGATGACCATTAGGCTATACCAACAAATCCATGAATGTATACAAACATGCAAGCACAATAAAACAACACGAATTATGAAATTTGTGCCACCAAAAACAGCAGGAAGATTTTAAGCTCTAAAATCATCAAGAAGGCACCAGCGAATTGTTGCAAAATTCCAAGCATGCCAAAACAGAATTTGATTGATGTTTACTTGTTCTGTGTTGCGATAAATTAACCCACAATTTGCATCATATTGCGAAAGTTGACCCATCATTTCGGCTGGTGGTCACTAAGATATCTAATCTTCTCGTGTTTACGGTTTATCGCATCCACCTTTGGATAAAAATGCGCTAGTGTGCAACTAATTATGCTTGATGGCATGGCTAATAGGTAGGTATTTCCAAAAATCGAGCTCCAGATCTATGCCAACTGAAACCCTATACGTAAAAACTATAGTATGCAAGTTTTGCTTAGAGCACAATATATGCTTCGCTCCCTAGTTTCCCAATGTACTTTAAATTTGACCATGGATATATTAATTGATACTTTGGTTAAGCGTTGTATGTGTGCGCCTTATATTTTAACTTTCAGTGTATTTGGTTGATTATCTTCGCTGAAGTTTTTAACTTCTTATTTGTTTCTAGTTTTATATTATGTTAAATTTGTTCGAGCCTTTTTTGTACGTTGCGCTTCATTGGAATTTCGTGACTTGCACCCACCGTTTGCTTAATGGGGAAGATGGACGATTGCTTCCATAATATTGGCGAACAACAGCGGAAATATGATGAGTATTTTTACGATGGCGATATACCAAAGCTGGAAGCTGTTGATGATGAGCGATGGTAAAGAATTTGATCTACTGCATACTAGATATGTAGTGTAATTATTTCTAAGGATTGGTTTGATAAATGGAAGACATACATACGTCGCTCGCGAACGGAGAGCGATAACAAGGCTGATATTACGGGAAAAGGTGATCCACCTGGCCCCCTAGACATCTCTTCTATAACAAGTATACCGTCTTTATCCTGCACTTTTCATATAGGTGATGGGAAGCTAAAAATCAATCTTGCTTTGAGAGTTGATGTAATGTGTATTCCTGAAGCATTGTTTGAGAAGCTTACTAATTGGTATGGCTTCGAAGGTGATGAAAGGGCTATTCCTTATCGCAAGGTTTACGTCACGAATGACAAAGAACCGTCCTTTGACTTATATCCACCTTTCCTTCATTTGCGTCCGCGCAGAGAACACAAAGAACTTGATTTGGAGTGCGACTCTAAGGAAACGATTGGTAGGTTGTACTTACTTTGGCGTTATTACCCTAGGTTATGTCAAGAACTACATAAGAAACAAAAATGGTCTTAAATCGGATGTGGATATCCACCTTTTTGACGCCAAAAATGGAGATAAGCTACCCGATGATGAAAAGGCTACCCTCAAGGAGTGCAGCCTCGACGGTGAAAAGGTGCACGCATAGTCTCGTTTGATTAACTAACATTATATCATGAGTTTTTTGTATCTTTCTGAAGTAAAAACCAGGCTCATTTATTACTGGAGGTTCATCGCTACTTACCCTAACTTTTTTTATTCTTGCAGGATATTGAGTATGCGGTAGTGTCTAAGAGGTATAGTTTGCACTTTTATTGCGATCATAAATAGATGCTTCCTGAAATGGGGTTTTCATGGTTAATCTTTATAATACTTTATCCATCCCCTTTCAAGTACTTTTTGATACTTTATTTCGTTACAAACAGACTGATAAATTTGAGCCTCTGACACATTTCATGCAGTATCGTCCAGTACATGGATGTGGTAGCACTGTTGATGCGCTGCCTTCCTTTTAGTATGGCGAATGGCAATGGACTCCATGGATTATATTCTTACAAAAATTTTGATTCATCTTATCCTCTTGGAGTATGTGGTTTAAGTAATCTCGGGAACACCTGCTTTATGAACAGTGCAATTCAATGCATTGCGAGCGTTGCTCCGCTCCGTAGTTATGTCATCGCCAACCACTTCGAAGATCATATCAATTCGGAAAATAAGCTTGGCTCAGGTGGAAATATTGCTCGAGCGTTTGCATGTCTAATGCGTCAGATGTGGAGTGAATGTAATCGGGGAGGCACCTGTGTGCCGCGAGAACTAAAAGTAATTGAATTTCATTTGTTTTGTCTTACCCTTTGCGGGCAATTAATTTTTTTTACTATCTAGATACAAATAGCGAAAATCGCTCCCCAGTTTGCTGGTTACCAGCAGCAAGATGCTCAGGAGTTGATGAATTTTCTATTGGATTTCCTTCACGAGGATTTGAACAAAGTCAAACAGAAGCCCCCTATCGAGGCCAAAGATGCGGACAGGCGTCCAGACAAAGTGAGCTTCAACTGTTTTTCATTTGATGCAATACTGCAGGTGTTTGGTACAGTGTTTGTGTAAATTGTCTACATTTTGAATTCTTCTAATGTTATTACCCTATCAGTCCTCTCTTCACTCTACCCTTTGGCGAAGGCACATGTCTCTGCATCAAAGTTTTTTGGTTTCATGATTTATTTCTCTTTAAATACCAGTCTGCTTTCAATTGTAATCAAGCATGTGCGCTTTTTTCTGATCGTCTTCATTTTAGGTGTTGGCGGAAGAAGCCTGGTCCAACTTCAAGAAACGTAATGACTCGATTATTGTGGATCTCTTTTACGGTCTTCTCAAGTCCACTGTTACCTGTCCTGAGTGCAAGCTCGTCTCCATAACTTTTGATCCATTCAACTCATTAAGCCTCCCCTTAACTAATGTCGACGTAGTTGTCAGGTTTTGGCCCAGCAAGAAGTATCTTCTACCCGTAGTACCCAGCTGTCGGGCCAAAGACATCCTCACTTCTTTTGAACGACATCTACCTCATCAAGATAGATGTGAGGTAAGTCGTTTGTACTTGGGAGACTGATCTGATAATCCCTTATTTGTGTTGTGTTTTGCATATTTACAGTGGAGTAGTGACCGACACGAGATGTTCAAATAAACACAATCTAATTAGGTATTTATTCGAGCAATGTTTGCAATGTTTATAGTTCCACTTATTCATGGTGGATACAGCTTGTAATGTGTTCACATTTGATTTCCGAAGATCGCTTTCCAATAGGCTATTTTTTGTCCATTTAACAATGTTAAGTTGATTTACATGTAGTATGTGGTGACGACTGTCTATGGCAATCACTTGAAGGTGATTCCACTCACATCGGAAGAAAGTCTACGTTTTGAAGAAGTTTGCATCTTTAACCTTACCAAGAGTTCTTACGTCCAAATTTTCCTTCATGTAGATGGGTAAGTAGCGTCCTTGGGGTGTGTTGCTTCATTGTTTCCCGTTCATAAACTTTTATTTGGATTCTACCCTTAGAGAGGCAGAGTTGCCGCCATTCTTGGCAAATCTCAGAATCAGTCAAAGGCGGTTTACAAAAAAAGACCTTATTCTTGCCGTCAAGGTGGAGCTCTCTTCTATTTCTGCAAAGTATGGTGAAATGTTCGAGCGCTTTGCTAATTTGGAGAAGCTCAAGTTCAGCCCGGACAGTGAAGTATTTGACCTCAATGGTAAGTTATTGCATGCGCACACATTCAACGGCATTGTTTTAATTAATGAGAATTGGCCACTGTAGAACTCTAGGTTACATGCCTTTTTTTCACTGTTTCGAAGTAGTGTAGTATTTCTGTTCATTGGAGGGAGGGGTTAACGAGGTTCCGTGGGATCACGATGAAGCATTTCTTGCAAGTCCCATTTATCTTGAAACAAGCGCATCATACTTTGTTGGTCATGGTGGCTTCCACGAGGCTTGGAGGAACTTTTTTTGGCAGACTTACCATCTCTAACAAAGATCTGAGCCTGTGAACGTATCTTGAAGAGCTTCAATAATACTAAAAACAGTCTAGTTACGAGAAACCACCGCGTACTCTCCTTTGTTGATCCATTGTATTGCGGAACCAGCCGGTGCAGTGAAAGAAAACGTCGTCCTTTTTGTTCATAAAAGGTGTCTAAATGGAGAGAATAGAAAATGACTTACTATTTGATTGGTTTCCAGTTTCCTATTTGTGATTTTCTTTCCGTTATTTCAAGGTTTTTTTGCTACAAAGCTAATTTTTCCTGTTGATCTTCGATCTTAGATACCTGGTGTATTTTAACAGTAAAATGCTAAATGTTCCATTTCGAACTTTCATCATAAAGTACGTTAGGCGTTTTTTTAACGCCTTATTTACTTATATGGGCTTATAAACTAAGTTGGCACTAGAATGATTCATCATCATGTTGGCATCTTGTAGTAGTTGGTAAAACGCAATTCCCTTTACTCTCAGTCTTTTTATGAGACCTATTTTCTTGTTTCCACGTTTAATCCCCATTTTAGTTTTATTTTAAGCTTCAATTTTTATTAAAGTTTAAAATTTGCCTATTTGTTTCGACTGTTATTGAACTGTGAAGATATGAGTAGTTTTGCAGGTTTTACTATGATTTTTTTCGGTGTCCCAATAGATCGGAATATTTTTTGAGTACTGTAGATTATTTTGCGAAGGTCGCTAATGCTATTATTTATATTTGTTACCATTTCGTAATCTCACCCAAGACGAAAGTTGCATATTGATCGGGCTTCCCGAAAGTCTGGGAATTGAACTCAACGGATCGCCTGCTCGACTTGATATAAAACTGGACGACTGCATTGACCTCTTCCTTGCGTCTGAACAACTTGGTGATCAGGATCTTTGGTATTGCAAAAAGTGTCAGCAACATCGACAGGCTTTCAAGAAATTCGATATTTGGTCTCTTCCCCAGGTCCTCGTAATTCATCTAAAGCGCTATAGAAGTGTCTATCGGATGGTCAAAAATAAAGCATTTGTCGATTATCCTGAGACGTAAGTTGTATGGTATCTTCGCCTTAACCGCAATTTTAATGCCCTGAGGTTCTTGTAGAAGTTTTCAAACTGGTTGATTATGCTTTAACATTGAAACTCAGCCGCGTTACACTTTACTGCGATGTTTAATCTAATATAAACTTCTCAGAGTTTAACTCAACCTACTTCCACTGACTGGAGTTGTTAAAGTATCTTCAGTAAGCCCATACATTTGTGGTGGTGGCAGTGGTGAAATTACTACAATTTCTCGACTTTTTTCTTGTGATAGGAATTTGAAGGTGACCTGCGTCGAAGGTACCAAGGTGTACGACCTTGTGGCAGTGAGCAATCACATGGGTTTTGTTGGTGGCGGTCACTACACCGCATACGCTAAAAACGGGAAAACATGGTACAGCTTCAATGACAGTTTTGTCGACGTGCTGCGTAGTTCTGTTGTGGTAAGTTCTAGTCAGGGTACTAGCGTTAATTCACTGTGACTCGTAACTTACCTGCTCGCGATATTAAATGGAGGTGCATTTAACGTCGCATTGCTCTTTTCTTCCTATTTAAATTCTAACGTAATAGGGTGGCAGTTGGGGGTGCCTTTTTCTCGCACTTATTTCTCTCCTCTCTTGCTTTAGACTGGTGATGCATACATCCTCGTGTACATGTTGAGTTCGATTTCTACGAGCCCTGAGACCATCAATGGGTACTGACCTCTTCTCGGCTTCTAACTTTTCTACTGCTTCTCTCTCAGGCAGACTTCAATATTTTGTATTTCGTTCTTCGAGCTCAGCCCTTGGAAACGCGGATGATGCAATCGCATACACATGCGGTCGTCCATCTTGCTTACATGGTTTCTGTGAACAACCGTTTATTCAATTCAACGATGACTCAAGTGATGTTTGTCTTAGTTACTCTGCTCAGTTCGCTCTTGAGCTCCGTAGACAATTCACAACTGGGTAAAAGGATTTAAAGTCCTATCCACTTCTTGGGTTTCCTGTTGTAGAAGTTTCCATTTCACCTAACGATGGTGGTTGTGTCTCTAGTTGCAAATTTTTTTTTTCCGGGCCAGAACCTGTTTTCCTAAAGTTTGTACTTTAATAGCTAGAGTAGAAGGTATATTGCGTTGGCAACGATTTCAGGTGCTGCACTATTGCATTCTAATCTAATTAATCTTGAAACAGTGCTGTCAACTTTTGAATGCACCATGGCATTTTACCGCAACTGGTATCTAGGTGAGAAGCTCAAGAAATCTTCAGTTTGAGGTGTTGCATGCAATTGTACCTCACTGGCTAATTTGAGGTGCATTCAGTATGGCTCGGTGTTTGTGCATAATTTTTGATTGTATGCAGATTTTGTTGTCAACTGAGGGTTTGTATACCTTGGTTGATCATACACTTCTTACCTCAATGTTTTACATTAGTAATGGTGATGGATAACCTCGTTCGATATTCGTCACTGCTTACAATGCTCGCTAAATCCCGGTAACTGGGATCATGCTTCACTATTCCGTTCTAGTGCTGTCAGCGGTCGATATGTCCCTTCTGTGTTTCAAGTGGAGTGAGGGAGTTCGCAAAAGACTGGAAGATTTGGCGTCATTTGGAAGCCTTCAGTAATGCCATGGGAATGTTAAATATGAGTTATAAAACTACTGCTCTAATAAGTGTTTTTGGTGCGATTCAACATTTCACTCAGTGACTTTTCCTGGGTAAAAAGTAGTAGTATGATCCGAGCAGTCGTTGTATTGATCCTTATTTCAAATACGCAGAACTATGCGCGCCAGTTGATTAACAGACCTTTACGACAAATGGGAGGTGAGGAAGGGCTGCCGAGAATTGTTTACCCGCGGGCTCATTTCTACTTGGAAGAAGCCTTGTGCGAGGCAGCGTGTACTAATGATTTGAACAGGGCACGACGCATCTTGATGGAGCGTGTAGACCCCAATTGGATCAATGGTTTTGGGCTCTCACCTCTTCACATAGCTTGCAAGAATGGCAATTTCGAGGTAGCGAAGATTCTGGTGTGCAACAGGGCGATAGTTGATCTGGAGAATGCGATCGGCGTCACGCCACTGCACTTGGCAGCAAAGAACAATCACTTGAAGTGTGCCCAACTGTTGCTGCTGTCCGGTGCGGCCGCGGGCAAGCCGACGTGGTCCCTCTGTACGCCCCGCGAGTACGCGCCCAGTGGAAGCAGGCTGCGCAAAGTTTTAGAGCTAGCGGAGCAGGGGATTCCTCCGGACCCCGCACACGTATTCGAAATGTCAGTTGAGCCTTTGGTTCCAAAATTTTCCATTCCTCCCAAGCCCCCTGAACGGGAGCAAAAAATAATATATTTTCCATAGATGTGGCACCGGTTGGCAAAAAGAAACGTTAGGATCGTTCATAAGCTCCCCCTTGGCCTGATAGCTTGTGGCGTCCTTTCATAGTACAGTTCCCAATTCTGATGAGACATAAATAAATGCCAAAATTTTTATCTTTCACCATTTTCGTTCAGTAAGAAATGTGAGGTGAAATGGTTGAACCCTACGACTGGAAAAATCACTTTTTAGCAAGTTTAGTAAATGTCGGGATTTTGTGCCTGTTTGTGCTCCTAGATACTTAGCATTCTGGTTTTCATGCCCAAATTCCAATGTTGATTCAGTGCTTCAAATTCGTCTCTGCATCCATGTCTTTTGTGCGTATCGACTACCCCATATTAAAAGATAAAACTAGGACATCTCCTGGAGGTCTAAATGGTGAAATTGCCTCGAGCTTGAGGACTTGAATTTGCGTCAATTGCGCTCCCTAGATTTCCCATGCAAAAGTCATTGATGCGACTTGCAGAACCAATCAAATAATTATAATGCCTCGCACAAGGAGGCCCTTTAGCGCATGTACTTTAATGAGGGGTTCGTAGTTAACGTATATCACGAAGATGTGGGATGGGTAGGCACGTATTGCAGCAGCGCGCAGCCAAAACCCTGTACGCACCGGTAGTCCAAGGTCAGTACTAACTTGGTATTTGTGAGTTGATGAATGTATAATGCTAAATGGAGCCGTCTATGAAGACATACGAGAGTCGTAGAGAGCAAATTTTGCTTGTAAGTAGTCGGGGGTAGTGCAGTGTCGATCTAAACATTGGTCGTAAAAATCTTCTTCCGTTAACCGTCTATGCCCCGTATTTGTGCAATTAAGAGAATTGCCAAGCTTCTTCCCTTTTCGTTTTATAGAGCCCATTGAGTAGCATATTCTGAAAGTAAAGCAGAGCGAGTGTGGCTATTGAATGAGATTAAAAGTGTGGATGTTCAGGGTGTGAAAATGGATTCTCTTCTGATGCTTTTAAATTCATAATTGCATTACGAGATTGACTAAGCAAACCGCTAACACACTAGCGCATCAATACTTCCCTATAACATGGGTAAAACACCACAGCTAACTCTGGGATGCACAGACAGCTCAAATGGCCAGCTAACAGGTGATGTCAGAGTGGCGTCAAACGCTGTGGGATTTTGTTCGTTGATTTATCGTTTTTAGAATAGCTCTTTTAAGTTTGAGTCGCTTTAGTTTCCCACATTATTTGAAAGTGTGCTACGTGTCACTTCACGGAGGGTTGCATGCATGCATTTCACTCGTTCCAATTCAGTGTAAATTGACTATGAGGTATTTTGAAACTATTTACCTATGTATTTCCAATCATTTAAATTACCCGTCATGCGAATAAAGGCAATTTCAGCTCTGGTGAAAATTCATATCTTCTAGCAATGCATTACATTTGGATCTAAGTTGTGTACTTGAGCACTGGTCCGAAGGCATAGATTCCTGATCGTGACACTGACTGATTGCACAGAACAATGGCCCAGACGCAACGATCCTCGCCATTACGCGCGGCGCACACCTGCACTTATGCCCTTCAGTTGCATAAAATTATTTTTTCAAAACCTCTTATAAGCTTCCGGTTCAAAAATTTTTCATGTCAATTGTGCTGATGAGCATTAAAACTGTTGGCGTATCTTTGTAATGTCCAGAGCTGATACTAGCAGTGGATGTCGATAAATGAATTTATTCTGAAATTTTCCATCGTATCTGAGGCAAGTCTACTCAGTCAATTCACCTTTTTAGCATTGAACGCTAAATATTGCAATGGATGATACATACCTACATCAGTTACGCCAACCGCTAAGTATGGATCACAAACGTGGCTTTAAGTTTCTTCTGTAACAATGACAGGCTCCACGAGGCATCCTTTGATTTATCAAAAAGCGGAAATATGATTAAAAGTAGCAACTAACTTTTAAACAATTCCTATCTTTGCTGATACGAAAATTCGCAAAATGTTCCTCTTTTGAATGATTGGTAGTATAACGAGCGTTCCCGTCAGGCATGAACTGGCACTGTGATTTGTTACACTTGTTTTATGGATAGCGAGCGGAACTTTTGATTTTAAATGGGAGGGGGAACGACTTGTGGCTTGATTTGGTGACTGGTCACTGCTACAATTTCAGAAAGTTCAGCACATCATTCTACGTTAGACATTTTATGGTTTAGCACGAAAGAACCATTGTGGGTACATTATACGCCTCATTGTTTTGTGAAAAATGCCTCTTATAAGCCTCAATATGTATCAGTAACACATTCATTATCCAATTTTATTTAACTAAATACAACATTGTAAAATGTCCATTGGATATTCTCCCCAAGAATGTATCACATGTTCTCCATCGGCGTTTTTCGTGAAAGACGTAGATGGGTTTGTAAAAAATTTACTTCATTTGAGGTTTAGACTGCAAACGTCCTGGCGATAATCGCTCAGTGTAGAACACAAGTTGGTTTGACGTAGCGTATATAAATATATTGGCACTTCAGAATGACTATTGATGCACTTCATTCAGCATTCGTGGTTTCAACCCTTCATCATCCAGACTTACCCATCAATTTTATGCGAAAATATCTTAACTAGACTGAGGTTGTGGTTTGTGCGTAATGCACTCGTTTGAAGTTACTTAGGTGTGTCAAAGCTTGTCAGTTTGCATAAATCTGTAAAGTATCACATGCATTCATTTACTCATTTAGTCAACCAGCCAGTCAGTCATTTTTTCTACATTAAAAGTTTTGTCAAATGTTCTCTGCGCCTCACATATGCTTACTCATGGGCTCATTTTAAAGACACGCATTTTCGTAGAGCTTGTCAATGTTATTAACTGATTTACCTTAACTTATAAAACAGGTGATTCAAAAAACGCCTTGATTTGCATGATCACTTTAAATCTGGCATTCTATAACCATATCCATTGTACAAATTTGAGCAACCCAACACAATTAATGACAAGTTGTATTCAGCCCATCTTACGATTTCGGAATTTCGTAATGATATTTTAAAACTGTGCCTAGTTGAATTATTGTTAATTGCCTCCAACACAAATGTGGTCAAATTTTAACGTGACAGTCAAGGCAAGCAAAACAAATATTTGTTTCCTTAGCTATTATGAAACTACTTTCCTATATGTGACCATTTACTAGTATGTTTACTTAACGAAAAGAGCTTTTATACTAAACAGCTTTACTTGCGTTTTAATTCACTATAAATAAATGGATACTAACCTCCATTTTACATCTTAAACATGTGCCCCCAGCCTTTAAAACGGCAAAACCTAGAGTGAGGCACATTAAAGTTATTTGGCATCATCAAAGCTTACCTTTCAAAGTGCCGAAACAACGGAGAAAACTTTAATTCAATGAAGTGATCCTCAGTTTCACATGGTGCTTTGTCCGAATCAGAAGCGCAGACAGTTGATATAGTGACATAGTTTTCTTTGAAATCGTCCTCTGTAGTTTCCTGTATATTCATATTTTTTCCTTTTGTGGAAGCTCGCATAACATAGCTGAACAAATCAACTGTGTTTCCACGATTCCTCATTTTCATTTTTTCCAAAATTCCAATTGATTTGAATCCAATAGATGTCATTCGTGGCAAAGATTGCAGCTTTGTGGATGAGATAGTGGAAGAGGAATGATCGGATGCGCAGCCATCATCATTGTTGCAGGCATTTGCAGTGTCTTCCAGCAAAGGGTCGCATTTGCTCGACTTCGGAAATGGAAGCTGCAGGTGAAATCTACCTAATACCCCACGCATTGCTATGAGAATTGATTTGAAAATGGAAGTATGCTGAGCTGTTTTATGTGAAAATCAAAAGCTGTCATTTAAAGTTCGCTATTGGCTTGTGAGCATTGCAACCAATCTCAACGAAATTAACGCCTCTGGGGTACTTACTTTTCTTCCCTTAGAGACTGAGAGCAGCGTTTCTCAAACGAATACGTAAATTTACATCTTTTTGCCACCTCAACGGAACTATCGCTCTCTTTCATAATCATACCATTGAGCTGAACCTGCTGGCAATTCCCACAAAACTTGAGTTAAAAAAATATTTCAAATTGTTTTAAGCTTGCATATTTTCTGTGTCAATATTTTGCGTGAGATTTTATATATCCCACCCTTTGTTCAATGTATACGCATGCATAATATGATCCTAACATAGTTCACGACGGACACGTCATTGCCTTAAACTAAAGCAGTACCCACGTAGAATTGTATTATCTAATAAAAAATAAATGAATGAATGGAGACGCTACCGCAAACGCCTGCACTTGCCAATAGTTTGTTTTGAGAATAACACTGGAAGGCGTACAGTGCTATTAACAAAGCTATAACGCCCTAGTAACCATTTTAAAGCATTTGGAAAACACCGGCTACCGTTGACACCGACTCGAAATATGAAAATTTCAAAGGGTTGCAGATCACACCTTTATCTTATTGATTTCATGATAATCTCACCTTAAGGTGTGCAATTTATTGCTTTGCTTACGACAGTCTAGAAACTTGTTAACGAAATTTAGAAAAAAAAATTACAATAAATAAGAACCTTATTCACTTCGCAGACTTTAGTCTCAATTACGTACACTGATGGATGGATTAGTGAACAGTAACACTCATAGTACTGTAGGCAGGTATTCTTAACTGAGCCATACCTACTAAAATTAGCGTCCCCATATTTCCCAAGGATAGCGTTTGCACCGGAATTACTTCATGCAATGGGCTATTGGCGAATGGACGGACGACCTGTGTGTGTGCTTGTGCTGTCTTTCGCCTACGTGGATAGACTGTTTGTGGGACGTGTGAATCCGGTGGGCAGTCGTGCACCCCACCGATTGGCCGAGAGCGCCTTCCCTATTGGTCAGACATCCAGTGTAGGCGTGCCCAAACCTGATGTGCGCATACGCATACCCAGCTGATCGGACCGAAAGGCGAAGAAGGAACCAGCCCAAGATGCATGGCTGCTTGACACTGATCGATTACACTTGGAAGGAGAGCGACGACAGTGAGTGCACCTCACCAAGGCATCGCGAAGGTGCTCACTCAAAGCGTCGGCTAGAGCGTAGTGCCATCCGATTTCAACGAGCTGCCACACTGGCTACTTGCGAAGATCGTAGCAAGCACTTGGGAAAGTACGGTAGGAAGCCGACGAGTCCAGCAGAGAGGGCAAGAGTTAGACGCACTCTCACCGTGGTCGATGTCTACCCACCCAGGCAGGCACCGACCTACGCGTCGTGGGTACGCATGCACAGGCCTGAGTTTGCTTCGGTTTGGTATCCCTTTGTTCATTGCCGATATAGACTTCAAAGGGACCCAAACACCGGAGCAATACAGTGGAATTCGGACTCAAATACATTATTTTGTACTCCTCGGTAAGCTCTTCAATTCTCAATTTTCACTTGTAATCCGATTCAATATAACTGTATTTTCGTCTTCCTTCCTTATCAAGGACGGCTTAAATTGTGAAAAATTGTCGCTAAAATAATTAAAAGGGTCATATTCGGCCATAAGCGAATCGCCCAATTTGCTTAAGTTTTATCGAGGAATTATAGGGAAAATTGCTTAACTGCAAAGCTATTTAAGTTACCCGCTCCTTCCCCTCAACGATAGCACTTATTTTCACATTCTCGATCACGGTTAGTGTACTTCAACAAAATGGCAGAGGTTGGATTAATTTGAAGTCTACCTTCTCATACATTTAAAACTAAGTGCAGTTGCAGATTATCATTTCTGTGGCCAGGGTAACAGGAAATATCTCCGGACACTATTTTTGAACGCAACTTGAGAACCTGCCCACGTTTGTCGAAATTATGCGAAAATAAAGCATCATCGAAATATTAAAGACCCCTTGCTCTAAGTATTATGAAGGTATGAATCAAAGGCTAAAACGCAAGCTTATATGTGGAAGTTTGCTAGGCGTAAATCTTGTTTTTTGGGAGAATTTTAGAATATGCAATATGATACACGAATGTGGTAAGACCAATTTCTAACAAAGTAGCTCCCTTTGTCACTAATTAATGGATCTATCAAGTCCATAATAAACTAGTTTGATTTTAGCTTACAGAGAGAAATCGTGGTAATTGGTAGATAAGAAGGATTTTTGGCAAGCATTTATCCCGCATCATGTCCCTTCTCCTGCCAATGCCCAACATTTATATGCCTGTGTTTAGATGGAACCCTTGATTCCTCTAAGAAATACCTTTTTATCGTTGTAGGACTTTGACAGAAATTTGTATTGCTTACCTGATTCGCGACTGGCCTTGCAGTTTGCCGCCACGCGGTCAGCAGACAACGATATCGCCTGAGCCTGTATGTTCTGGAATCAAGGACACCCTATCAGCCTCGAGTTCCGACTACAAACACCTTTCTGTGCATCTTTTCGAGAAGCTTCTCACCGAGGCGATTGTACAACGTGACTGTGCGGCCATTTCTGGTCTCATTGCAAACTGGCCTGGTGTTTACTTAAACGTTCGGCAGATTCTACCGAAGGAGGACTTTCCTCTAACTCGAGGCTACCTCACAAAGCCCGTCTTTGTCACTTCAAATTCTGACTCTCTTGATTCCATCTTTAACAGCGTTCTCAAAGGACCAAGTCTCTTGGATGCCCTCATTATTGGGGTACTGTCTAGGAATCCAAATTGTGCGCTTCAGGTGATTGATGTCAATGGTTTTGAAGAGGGTAAGCTAGTTGTTCTTCTGTTATTCGGGTTCGTTTTTTTCACTGAGTCGAAGATGTAGACAATATAAGTGATCGAATTCACACAAATAGTCCGTCGTTCGCCTAACTTCAAAGTTAATGGTTTGTAATCATAAGAAAATTCATTTTACTGGGATGGATTTGCTTGAAAATTTGTTAAAATTTGTAGTGGCGTTAATTCATGGATTTACCTGTGGATATCGAAAAGATTATCTAGCTTAGATTAAAGGTAATATGCATTTACTTAACCGAGTAACATACTCACAGGCTACAGCGAGCACGCAGTACCGTCATTACAATCACATTCCTAATGGGTCGTCTAGAATTTAAAGTTCTGGTGTTAGGGTGGGTGGAATAGAGTGAATCATATCATACCCTTCATAAAACCTACCCAAAGCAATCCCACGCACCTTCATCAAAGTTATCTTTCTTTTAGATTTTGCTTAGTCTAGGTAGAAGGAGACAAAGTAGCACAAAATGACGCTGCTACCACATAATGGCTTGAAAGAAATTGGTTTGGAAGTTTATTTTAATAGTCGGAGTCATTGCGATAATTCACGATACCTGATTGTGCTTCCTGTACTGCTATAGCAAACTGATCATAAAAGAACTTTGTTCCTTTTTAAGTAGGTTGACGAATACATCAATATGACTTTAATGAAGCACCCTTCAACTGATCTAATTCTGCACTCTTACCAAAGTTCGAGGCTCGATGCGCTCGAGTGGTCGAAATACTTACAGGAATACATCTTAAACTCTGCTTTTCGGGAGCTTTAGCAACAAGCCATCACCGATGTCTCCATATTCGATATTTTTGTACTTCGCAGACAACCCACTAATAGGGTAGTTTCTTTTCGTGCATACTCTTTTTTAAATAAACATAGAAACGTCAATAACACTTAAATATTTCATAGAGTTGTGGTGATGTAGAAAACATGGAGTCCAGAATCTGGTTTGCGAAGCACGGCAGAGAGTAGATACCATGGATAAAATTTAAAATGCTCCGTTTACCCAAGACTACATATTCGTATTCTAATTTCGAAACTTCAGAATTTGCTTTCGTATCAACAATGGGTGAATTGGTTGCGTTTCCCCATTTTAATTGCGACCTCTATGTTGCCACTGTTCCAAATCCCAACAAGCAGCAATGTGATGTGTTGGCTAAGACGTTGCACGCTGACGAGAGTCAATCCCAGGATAAAAGTGGCGTTCATATGCAATTATGCTTCCTATGATTTTTTGTACATTGGCACCCCAAAGAAAGCTCTTTTTCACCGATGCAGCTTAACAATTCTTGGTTTTGATACAAACGTTTTCAACTCCTCATTTTCATTAACTTAGCGATCTGTCGGGTTAATTTCCATAGTTTTTGGTTTTCATGCTAGATTCAGTTTAAATATGGCTGAGATACCAGATTAGAATGATCGCGGTGTCACAAATCATGACATTATAAAAGTCCACTTTTTGCTACTTTCTTTTCTTAAAAGCCCGTTATATTTTTTTCCTTTCCTTAAGCATCAATACTAAGCTGTATTTATTCATTATCAGTCGGTGTGTCATCTATGCACGCATAGGCAGCCTACCAACTGATCTAAAATAGTGCATGTGAAAGTAGAATCAACCTTCTCCGGTATTTAAAGTGGTCGATTAAAATATCTTTCCGACCACTGCATGAGAGTGGTCTCCAATCAATAGATTAAATGAATATAGTATTTATGAGGTGAGAATGGCATAGAGCTCCTTTGCGAAATCCTCACTAGTAAGTATGGTGCTTACATATTTCTTTAGATCAACGTGTGAGCATCGAGTTGTCGAGGCTGCCACTGCTCTGGATGAGCCCGGAGAGACGCGGTTCAGAGGACGTGCGACAGCAAATTCGCGGCAGTCTGCAGCTGGCCATTCAGGATCAACGTTTTGACCGATATTTTACGCGGATTTCTACTATTTACAACCTTCATGAGGGAGACTTCTGCCATGAGCAGAATTTCGGTAAGTCGTGAATGTTTGTGTAACGTTAGTTTTCTTAGAACTTTGTTTTCTGAACGAAACTTTAACATAGAAACCCAAATTAATGTTTTTACAGCGTGTTCACTTAATAGGTCATGACAATTTAGTGATAAATCGGAAAACCTTTCCTGGATGGGTGTTACCTTCACTCTTGAAATAATAATAAAATGAGGGAACAATAGCGCCTAAAATAAATTACACACGTTTTGAAGTTGTTATTAAACGAAGTAACTTAAGTAGGCATGGGGTCAGGCTTTGATAGTCGTTTTCTTGGTTTATGCGCTGCTCGCTGGATGAATGCATTTCTAGAATTTGAGTCAAGTTTTCATGTACTCATTGTGGAATATATCTTGTATTTTGCATAAATAGAACCGCTGACAATATGCTTGGACTGTAATATGTCAGTCGATGAAGTAGCGTTCGGCCTAGCTCTACAGTCAATGACTCCCTTTCGCTTTTCTTGCAATCGTCTGCTCATGCGACGCTTGCCCGAGCTTCAACTTCCCGTCTTCAACCTCATTCGATTACTCGACCCCCTGGTAATTCGCTATTGCATGTTGCCAGTTGCCTTTTCTCATATACTCTCTGTGCATGCACTCCTGTGACGCATTGCAAATTCCTCTTCACAATTTCTATGACTCAAGAACAGGAAATTATCTATTCAAATTTTAGTGACTTCGTTATCAAGATAGACATTTCAGTATTACCATTTTCATATTCACCAGCTTACCTGAAACATCATCTGTAGGATCATAATTTGCATGCTGACCATTCATAGTCATGTAAACAAATATTCATTTTTATATTCCTGTTGCCTAATCTTCCAACCTGGAAGCTTGTCTAATTTAGCCTTTAAGGGTTAGTAGATTTTTACTCGATCTTCAAGATGTGGTTAGTTGTTGCTAAAGTAGACAGCTTTCTCTCGACAAAATTACACACGCAACTTTTTTGCGGACTTGAGTCTCAACATAATGCCCAAAAGTTTATAGCCTTAATCGGCTATACTCTTCTCAAGTGAATCCACTCTGGCAATTTTGATATCTAGTTTATAATTGATGCATTTAACATTAATTAGTCCAATTAAAGATCTTGTAAGAGTGTGTAGGCTCTTTCAAGCGTTATTTCTAACACTCATGAATAATCTTGTCAGATATTCTGCATATACTTTTCAGGACAGATTTATGCTCATGGGATTGTTTTTAAATTTTTATATGGATAACCACACTAGTGAGTAGTTGAATGGACTATCTCTCCGTACATGTGCATGTAATTCAGTCGATAACACAGTTTGAGTTGGAGGACCCAGAACTTGGTGCTGGTTCAATGGGAGGCCTGCCCTCCGCGCTCGGTTGGTTAGCCAGCCTGCGCAATCTCCGAGCCTGTTCACTGCCAGCATGCATTCCTCCACCCCTCAACACCACCACCACCTCGTCATCTGCCGCCGCTATCGCCAAGCCCTCAAATTTGGGTCCCTGCCGTCTGCTTAACCGATCACTCATCTCGCTACGCCACTTGCAGCGCCTCAGTTTGGCTCGGTGCTACCTTCAGGGACAACTCCAGCTCCTTCTCGGTGCACTCAACCAGCCACTGGAGTATCTCAATCTACAGGTACTAGGTCGTCCCTTGACGAAGTTCTATTCATGCAAAACACCATCACCAGTTTAAGCAGTTCTTGTATAATTCGGCATCGATGCATTACTACCTTATTTTCACATTAAGCATAATTATTCCTTATTCTTTACCAAATAATTTGATTCACATTGCAAAATTTTATATGTATTAAGGGGAACATAATACTGCAATTGAGTGGGTTGCTTGTCATGCATTGACGAGGATTTTTCATTACATCTGATCGATTTGCATTTTTAGGATTGCTGCCTATGTGTAGAGGACGTCGAATTTCTGGCTTTCAGCTGGCGGCCTCTATCCGGTCTTTATGAATTGAACATATCCCGAAACAATCTCGCGCGTGTGCCCGAGACAACACTCGCGCAGCTCTTTTGCAAAACGTGTTTCAGTCACATCGGCCATCTTACCTGTCTCTCTCTCGCCTACACATGTCTCTCTTTCGATCGTCTACTATGGACTCTTCGCCTCTTCGCTAGAGAAATCAAGGCTTCTGTAAGTAAACGGGCCTAGACTTGGTTTATTAGTTATTCAAGCCTATGTTGGGGATTCTCCACATGCTTCTTTAATCAAAAGGTAGGACTATGATAACGAGATGGTTCACTGAATTCCTTGCTGGAGACAAAACAATTATAGCTAAATTCAGCTCGATTCATTTCGAAGGTGCGCAAGATTATCTTCTTTAAGGTGGTCAAGACTGGTAAATCAGCCAAGGTGGCAAGCGACCTCAAACCGCGAAACCTCTACGTGAAATTTGCAGTCCAACTAGATATTTCTCTAACTGGTGACTAACAATCCCTTGAAAATAGGAGCTCATGCGAAATAGAGCCAAGTTGTATGCCCGTAGAGGCAAAACACCTTGCAAAATTGGTACTCGTGAGCTTGTGTCACTTTAAGGAAAAATATTGGTAATTTCAACAAGCAAAATATTTTGGGGCTCTTTTTTAGTTGTTTATTCTTTACTGAGAAAATTCGTCTCATTATGGGTGAACTTAAAGCAGAGGAATGAGTCTTTTCAGCTACCCCCCCCCCCCCTTGGGAACAGGGAAATTGCCTTTTTAGGCCATACATAAAGTGCCTGAACTTTTGACATAAGAATTTTAAGTCACAGAAACAACCACATTCAGGTAAACTACATAATATTGGCAAAACTGGACTTATTTGTCCACCACATAAGTATTTGTTTACGCATGAAGTGGTTTGTAAAACGACTGCTGCTATGCGCAGTCGAAAGTCGGACTAACCAGTTAAAAAGACCGCACCATCCCAATCTGGTTGCCTCAAATAGTCAATCTTCGACACTGCTGGTGCACGTCAACAGAAGCTTTGATAATACAATACTTTAAATAGGAAGTTTCGAATATTACCTTCGGTACTTCTTCGCCGCCAATACATTCAATAAAGTTTATGGACTTACCAAAACATAACAGCCTTCTTTTATCAACTAATGCTTCCTTGAACATTACCAGGAAGCATCATTGGGTCTTTATTTTAATGATAGGATACGTCAACTAAAACTATGTCGGCGGCTGCGCAAAACTGGCCGATTTCCTCTGACGAGTCAGATGCCGAGTGCCTTTCCTCGAGATGCACACTCCGAGTTCTTTGCATCCAAAACTTTATTCCACCTTCGACAGAGGTTAGCCACAGCTTGCTGCATCTAGCCATCACTTTACCACGACTTCGACTACTCCAACTTTATCCGGCGTTCTATGCCTTCCCTGGGGTAAACGAAAAGGAGCAACAGGCTAACAGAACCCAGGCTATCCTGCAAAGCAATACCTATGTCAGACGTAGAGGTCGAAGAGGCATTGAAGTCCGGTGATTCACGCAGGATTTCTATTGAATTCTATACCCGCAACTCGCTACATAATCATTGAAACGTTGCATGATCAGGAGGATAATTTTGGAAGCTGCTTCTAATACCCCACCATCTTTGTTGCATTTTAACATGCTAAGTAATTTACTTGTACACAGGCGTTCATTCTGATATGTTGTAGCAATCACAGCGGTTGAATGTGATTGAGTGGCAAATCCTTTGATTTTTCTCCTTTCATTTAATAAAATTTTTTAGATGTGACAGCCTTGTGGAAGAACTGGAGAACGATAAAGTTCTGCTGCATAATACTGCCGTTAGTTCAATAATCAATGTGGTCGGTTTTATTAATCCATGGGGTAAAGTACATACACACTTAAATGCAACTTAGCCCAGGTGTGATTTATTCGCAAAGAAAGTTAAATGCTTAATTGTGACCTGAGAAGTGCCATCACTGTTGTTGTTGGTTAGAACTTGTATGGGGCACTTAAGCTGCATAGCGGTATTTCGATGAACACAATAAAGGCATTTACAGATGTGAATTATTCTTTTTCAATATTTTGGCAAATTTTGACAAGGCAAGGGTTCAAAAATTAATGTACAATTTTAGAAACTGTTACTGATCATTCATTTTTGTCCAAAATCTATCCATGTCTCTTTAGAAAATTTACATTTTGTTGTTTGTTATAAGTTATACAAAACCATGACCTCTAATTGCAGCCTCTGCTCTAAATTAGTGTGTATTCGGTTCATCTGAGATTTCTTCACTGGTGGCTTGGATTTCGATACATAAGTTGCCTATAGGTTCATGCTCATTTTGTTCCGCGGTTTTTGACCTTAAATATACTGAGGACCGTATTAGCACGTTTAATTTGATTTGTCATTGTCGTGAGGAACTTTCTATTGAAACTTTGCGTACAGCCGATGATGCTGAAAGCATTGAAGGAAGCAGTCTCGCCTAATAAGCGGTTATCCTTTAATTTTTGCCGTCATTCCATTATCACAACGTTTATCTGCTCAGGTGCTGCATATCGAATGTACGCTAGCTGGAATCGGCAGCAGCCGTGCTCGACAATTAAGGTGGATTCAAGCGTATCCTTACCTTCACTTCCATGTTTGCTCCCTACCTACACTCCTTCATACGTCGTATTTTTTGGTGAAAATAATGAATATCGGTCGACTCTTGCTGACCCCAACTCCAGAAGGGAATTTGAATCCCGTGCCTCAAAATTAATATTTCTTCGGAAATGGATCGAAAACGACCTGCCATTGGTATTTTCGCGGGGTATTTTTGATACAATTGACCTGTTCTGTCCTGAAACCGTTTTGGAAATCGAAAGAGCTAACTGCCGACCTCTCTTCTTTAGGTTGGTTTGTGCTCTGTACGATTTTTTGATTTGATTTTGATTATTTGGCTATCATATTCTTAGTAAATTTTCTTTGGTCTTTTATTATCTATGTGCTTAATAAGACGTCTTAATTAGGAGAAAACTTGTGCTTAGAGCAGTTCAACTATTTATTTCCACTGATCGGTAATCCTCATTAATGATAGTCTCCTTCAAATTTGTTTGACAGGTCATATTTGGTACGCCTTAAAGGTTTTGCGGTGCTTCGTATCCTGAATATTAGTCGTTGGTGTCCAATGAATTATCCAATTCTTGTACTCCACCCACGCTTCACACTACACCTTATGTCTAAATGTAGTCTTTATTATTAAAAATGGGTTTTTTGTCTAATCAACCCAATGACAACTTTTTTCAGACCCCTTTTAGGTGACAACATTTGGATACTATTTCTATTTTCTATCTTTTTTGCGTTTGGGACGTTTGTCAGGGCAAAACTAAGGTGGTGAAGAATTGAAAACACGAACACTTTGAGTAACGTCATATACAACAGGCACAGAAAATAATGCGGTGCATTGGCCTTCTGCAGCATATCTTGTACGGTTAAAACTAGTATGAAATTGCTGCAATTTACGCAAACGTGTCTTGCTGAAGACTACGGGTGCGGTATTTTGGTTCAGAGTGATTTGCAATTTTCAATCGAAATAGATGCAATGCACTCTTACCATGACAACTTTTAGACAGTGTCGTATTCATAACTTATTTTTTAAGACGTCAAATTTCATAATTCTCTCGTTGAGTACCATGCCTCGTTTTGAATCCTCTACATTACTCGCCAGTAATTGGTCTTCAACTCCTCTTTTTTAGCTGTGCTATTTACGTTGGTAATTACTAGCAGTGATTTCCGTACCTATTTAGAGGTTCGTCGCAGGCTAACTGTGTGCTAGCACTGGTCCGTTCCTACTTTGCGGCAATTTCCACGAGTCGGAGAATTGAGGTACTTAATGTTGAGGTCGATCACGACCACTGGCGAGTGGAAGCCTCCTTTCGTGTCGTTCTTCTACCTTCACCGACCAAGGAAGAGCGCCATCTTCCTTCCAAACAGCTCATTCAGCGCCTCGAAGCTAGGGCCAAGTAGATGCTTATTTTCTTTTTTCCACATTCATTCAAACTTCATTCTTAACAAATTATGGCTTCGTGCATGAACCCCATACGGTAACAAATGTGGATTTGCATTCACCGGTGCTCCTTTCGTTTATCGTGACCTTTAGGGACTTTACAGTCTTTTTACTGAGTTACTTGACAAAGATGAGTTTTATCGTAATTATCACTGCTGTAGTCACAATAACGAGAGTGCACGATCCTCCATTTAACCTTTATGTTTACTCTCTTTGGCCCATACTTTTGTTTTTCGTAACCAAAAAGCGGTTTTATTGCGTATTATCTTGATAACTCATAGAAGTTGATTTCTGTTGCCAGATCCTTTGGCTTTTTAATACTTCGGTAATTTCCCTTTCGCAGATGGCTTGATTTCCGTGCAGTCTTCTACGTCAACAAAAAGGGCGAGTTGACGCAAGTGAAGATAACGCGGGTGAGTAAGCACCTTATTTTTTAATCGCGAAACACTAATGGATACTTCGTTCCTCGTCCATCAAAGGTGGAGTTTTTGCTGCAGCGATTGTCCTCTTCCCTTTCTTCACGGGAGCCAGACGGGTCATCATTCGCACCCAGATTTCTTTTTTTCCTTTCCAACTTTGTTGATGGTTCATCCAATGTTGCTTTAATTTTATCAGTAAATCTCATTACTCCATTGTGGTTGACGTTCCTGGTTAGTTCGGCTTTTCTTGGCACAGCTTACCTAACGTTTTTCTTGATTAAATTTAAACATTTTTTTCGGTGTCTCTGTTTGGTGGCTCAACTTCCGCACATTTAAACCGTATGACATACGTTTGATCACTTCCAGATTTTCATTTCGTAAATGTTATTGAGCTTTTTTGAAACAGCCAGATAGTATTTTGCTGCAGTAGCTTGCAAGGGTGCTTAAACTTTGTTTTCCATGTTTTTCTATGCTGATCTATTTGTGTTCTTCCTATGTTATTTCTTTTCAATACCACTGCGAGCCTATCCTCAATGTTTTATGAATAATTTTAGAAACATTAGCGATACTTATTTAATTTAGATCCCAGTTTTTTTTCAAATATAATGCATTTAATATGGGCTATTGTTCGTATTCTGTTTAATTGTAGGTGAATCGACGACGTAAAAGCCTTCTTGAGTTGTCTATCCAAAAGTTGCGATTAGCTAATAACATCGTTCCCATGACAGCCGACTCCACTGGTGTCATCCTCCAGCTGCAAGATCTATTGTCGAATCTTGAGTCAATTTTTGAAAAACAATCTGATTGCGGTGGTGTGCTTTTGGACATATTCTATATATACTCCATGGAAAATGTAGGAGACACAACCACCTTGCAATTTGTCAAACTGGCAAATCTAAAGGCGGTTTCCTCTCTGAGATCCCCGATCCCTACTCACTCCCCCAGGATCCCAATTCTGAGTGGCCGTCCGTACATCTTAGGAACTGTTCTCACGCTCTTCTCTGCCTCAAGTTTGCTTTCATGAGCTCATCATCCCTTTTCTGTATATTATTCATTATGGTGGTTATGCGTGGAGTCCACTCGGTTTTTGAGATAACAAGATTCCGAGTTATGTGGTGTCTTACTCTTGTTTCTCTACTTGTCCTTTTGTACATCTATGAATAAAAAACAAGCATTGCCTTGTTACTTCCCAACTTCCAAAAGTATTTTGAAGACCTTATTGATGCAACATATACGTTGAGTTGGAGAGCTATCAACTTTGGAAGGTTTTTTTCAGCCGTTACACCACTAAGCAGCAGACGATATTCTGAGTAATCGGCAACTGAGTATGGGGTTCTATTGCTTATCTTCTGCACTCTACGATGTGAAATTTGATTCTCTGTAAGCGTGATCGGAAATATGGTTCTCGGGTCATGGAACAGTGAGCTTCTGTCGTATTTGGCGATCTATAGGCAGCAGGAGCATTACATTTGTGGTTATGCTATCGACGATATTTTACCGTCAGTACTAGTAAAGTGAGCTTCAGCTCTGCACACACAGCAGCCAAAGTGATTGCCAAAAGTTTTTAGAAAAGTGGCAGTAACAAGTTTCCTTCCTTCTTACCAGCCATTTGAAACTGGCAGGGGTTATAACAATGCCGTAAGATCTAAATTGCATAATTTTGCATAAGCTCTAATGGTACCGTTTTGGAAGAAGTCATGCTACAGAATTCAAGACACTAGAAGTTTGCTTTGGTAAATGTGATGTACACTTAGGTGCCTGTATTACACACTGAATTGGCAGGTAAAATAGTGCCCTAACTAAATGTGTTCTTCGGACTTCTTCAGTAATTGAATAAATGACGATAATTGTGGGACTTGAATGTATCAGATTTGAGTGAAGTAAGAGAAGTCTTTATGACCATCTGCAAACCTGTCTACGCAAACAACCGTAATAATCGGCCGCTTAAGTTGTCACAAGTTTACACACCAAGCGTGTTTGGGCAAGATCAGCGTCACGTGAGGGTAGAACACCAGGCGCTATTCGCAAAGCCTGTCAGAGAGTTTATCAGACAAGTATGCGTTTATGGGCTATCAATTGAGCTAGTTGGACTCACTAAAAGTTTACATAAACTGCTCAAGGGTGAATGATTTCCACTTTATGATAGTTGCAGTAGCGTTCAATTTCCTAGCACTTTGATTGATATCTATGCAGTTAAGATTTAGTTTATAAGTAATTGCTTAAGAATGAGATTTGGTAAAAGTTCACGCCTAGACTGAAGGGCAAAATTTATCACCATTCGCAAAAGATGGTCAGGCGGGAAGTTAAAGTGGTCTTCCTAACTTCCAACTTGAAGCAATGCATTATCACCACCACTGCACGATCTTTAGACTAGGTATACGACTCGCCTCAAATGGATTGATATCACCATTAATGCATGCATCAATTAAAAATGGGTTTATAGGCAATCCT